CTTTGCTGTCCAGAGCTGCCCTGCCGCACCTCGCGAATCTAGCAGGGACACAGCAGTTGCTGTGATCATTTCTTCTATCATAGATCATTTCTTCTATCAAAGTCTAGAAAGAACATGAAAATGAAGACTGGGCTAAGCAGATGGTGTTTAAGGATTTTTCTGTTGTTTGCTTTTCTTTCTTCATCCTATTGTGTTGAGGCAAAGCATACAGGATAAAATGAGGGAAGGTGAGGATATATAACTAAAGATCAGTTGGATCCGTTTTACATCTGTTGTGCAGCCCAGCTCTGGATCAAGCCCTGCTTACCTTGCTTTCGACAGTAGCATGCAAAGCACTGGAATTTGGAAACTCTCTCTCTTGTATTTCTCATCAGGAAATTGAAAAAATATTCTTTATATAGGAACAGCTAATGAGCTGGACCAGAATTATTATTATAATTCTGCAAAGAGCATCCAGCTTTCTCCTTTCCTACAAGGAAACTGAGAGCTTATATACAAATAGGGTTTCTGTGGGTCACAAAATCAGCTATTCAACAGCTGAATCACTGTTCAAGAAACTTTTTTTTCTCTCTCTCTCTCTCTCTCTCTCTCTCTCTATTCTGCACAACATCCTTACACACATTAAAGACTGTAGGCAAAGTTGTACAAACAGTTCAAGAAAAAGCAGCCTTTTTTGGGCAAACATTTCACCTTCTTTTCCTTTAGTTTTCTGTTATTTCGGATGGCAGTTAGCACAAAATAAAGGGTAAAAGGTCACTGACTTAAGTGCTTTACCAGTACAATACAATCACCTGCAATAATAAAGTAAGTCCTAATGAGGATCACTCTTGTCAAGAGCTGGTTGTCTTGGCAATAAGGTTATCCAGCAAGATAACTTTTTCCTGTGATAGAAGGTGAAGAGAGTCAGTTGTCTGATTGACAGAATGGAAAAGTATCAAAACTTTTCAATTCAAAGCTCTACATATCAGGAGTCTAGAAAGATAAGGGAAAATACTGCCTTGCTGAATACAAACGGATCTAGTAATTTCTAAAGAAATGCCGAGCTAGAAAAAGGTTTTGTTTAAACCGAAACACGTTCAGATTTTTAAGAAAAAGGTTTAGATTTTTAAGAAAAAGATACAGGTAGCCAGTCAGAAGCTCTTCCTTCTGTGTCCAAGGATTAAGTTTGATTTAAGTCATTCTTTAAGTTTACTTTTGAAGCATACAGTGTGAAAAGATACTTTTGAATTCTAGTGGAAGTGGGAAGACGAGAGCTGGGCAGACCGGAGGGCAGTGAACTCCAGCTGTCAAGGAGGAATGTAGAAAAAATATCTCCAAAAGAAAACAAAAGGCGGCCAGGAACAAAGTGGAGGGCATGGGCACACACCCCAGAGGCCTCTGACTCTTCGGTACCCAGTCACTGGTTTGCTTTCATGGTACTCAGCCAGAAAAGTCACTACCTAATCCCCTAATATTGTTTAGCTTTATTTCCTAAGAAAAATAATATTTTGCAAACACACTTTATGTCTGCCTACGAAAGGTTATGTCTCTCTGTGTCTCTCTCCTCCACTTCAGAAATGCTTAACTCACTGGCCTGTTTCAGACAAACTGATGAATGCCTAGAAAATCTAAGGATACAATCCTACCTGTGTCTTAGTAATTGGATATTAAACATTCAGATGGCCAAATCCTTTTACCAAGGTTGCTAAGCAATACTCTCTATAGAGTTAAGCTCTTTCAGACCAGATTGGAAGTGTTCATGAATTAAAGTATTACTAAAATATAAGAAACAAAGGAGAAAAATATCAGAGAGGTATTTGCACACATTACTTAATGATCTTGAGGAATAGTAGTTTGGTAGCAATGTAAGATATCAGGATAGCTTTTACTGGTGGAAAATAAAACTGGTTCCCATGATGTTGCAGAGAGCACTTACATTACTGAATAATAAAATGGCAAATGAAATTCAATCTGGATAGTCGCAGACATGGACACAGAGATAACAACGCAACAGTGACATACCTGATGCTGTATTTTACATCAACCACTTGCTATAAATCGTTACCTGAAAGTGTTTAATACCCAAAAAAGCAAAAAAGTTATATACGCAGATATGAAGAAGAAAACAGCCTCGTCTGGCAGTATGACTGCATAGTGTGCTTGCAACTTGATGAGGTTTCCATTTAGCAGATGACAAAAACATTACACAATACAGTCTTTTGCAGAGAAGAAGGATAGTCATAGAAAGGTCATGGAATAGCTATTATACGTGCAGAAATTTTCAGCTTGAAACAGGGAGGATGGCATAGAAAGAGATAAAACAGTTTTGAAATAAATGGTGTGGAAAACGTGAATGGAGTGCTTTGACACTAATTCTCATAATCAAATAAGGGGAAATGAACTCAAAGATAGTTTCCTTCACACTGCATAAAGAAATTGCAAAAATCTGTACCACAGAATGTTTTAAAAATAGTAAAATATATTTTTAAAATATAAATATTTAATAATGTTTGTTGGACATTTCTTGAGTTTTCTTCAAAAAAGATGTTAAAAATGCTAACTATGTTAAATATTCAGCGGTCCTGGCAATTAAAATAAAATCCAGCTTTAGCAGTATCTTTTAAATCTCTGACATCTCTGCTGGCTTACACTTTGACAGAAACTATGGTAGCAATAATAGCCTTCCTGTGCAGGTTCTCAAATGTCTGTTGAGAAACAAATTCCTGTTGGAATTGTGATTTTTTTTTTTTTTTTAAATCAACAGTAACCACAGGGCAACTCTACTGGAAACGAGACTTAAATTATCTCACGTTCAGGGAATTAGAATCCTTGATTACTTCTACATATTGCCTGGAAACACGTAAAAAAAATAAAATATTCTTGTTGGAACATTCCTTAAATTCCAGTGACTGACTTTGCCTGGCAAGTAACATTCATTCACATAGCTTGGCTCACGTGTGTGTGCTCCTGTACTCATAACATAGCCAAAATACTTTTAAGATGTCTACAGAGTTAAGCTTGTAACTTAATTTGTGTAAACAGAAAACACAGGGCAGATGCAGTTTTCCATGAATTTCTATAAAATACATACATACTCCGCATTTTTTTTTATTAAAGAAACCAGTTTCAGATCCAGAAAAATGTTAATCATAGAATCATAGAATGCTTAAGGTTGGAAGGGTCCTCTAGAGGTCATCTAGTCCAACCCCCCTGCACACGCAGGGTCACCTAGAGCACGTGGCACAGGGTGGCATCCAGGCGGGTTTTGAAGATCTCCAGAGAAGGAGACTCCACAACCTCTCTGGGCAGCCTGTTCCAGTGCTCTGTCACCCTCACTGTTAAGAAAGTTCCTGTGGAACTTTTGGTGCTTTAGTTTGTGGCCACTTCCTCTAGTTCTGTCGGTGGCCACCAGTGAAAAGAGGCCAGCACCATCCTCCTCACTGCCTCCCTTGAGGTACTTATAGACACTGATCAGATCCCCTCTCAGCCTTCTCTTCTCCAGGCTGAACAGGCCCAGCTCCCTCAGTCTCTCCTCATAGGGCAGATGTTCCAGGTCCCTGATCATCCTTGTGGCCCTGCGCTGGACTCTCTCCAGCAGCTCCACATCCCTCTTGTTAATATCTTAACAAAAGCGAAAGTCTGAGCAAACATTTAACTATGGAACTTCTGTCAGGGTTTCCTCAGCATATTAGGTGCTTCTTTAGATTTATGTACACAGAAAAGCTGATGGATGAAAAGACAGCACAAAAAGGCATTCAAGTACATCACTGTAGAAGGGAAACAGCGTAGCAAAAAATACAGCCACTGCATTCTTCAGGAAAAGTAACTTATAAAAAAAAGAAAGTATGAAAATGCAAATGAAAATTCTTATCATATTTTAAAAGTCATCCACATAATATCTCTTACCAGGATGACTACCTGACTTTGACAGTGTGGGAGATGCTGCCTTCCAGCTTCCAAACACCCAGCAGTCAGATACTGTTTAGAAGTCAATACTTACACATGGTTCAAGAAAACAAAATAATGACAGTCTTTTTTCCTGATAATTAAAACTAAAGACTATATGACTAGACAAATCGGAGCAAACAGCTATCTCTAGAATTTTCAAATACAATATACTGTGTCTTTTAAGTTAGGGATAAAAGCCAACAAAGCTATTGTTTAAAATATGCCATGAAATCTTTAAATCAGAGTCAGGGACCCCCTCTGGAAAGGAACAAATATACAACTTTCCATTTCATAAATGCAGAAAAATGTTAAACACTGATATATTCTGAATAATTTAGTCATCATATTACCCATCCTTTATGTTAAAAAGGTGACAACATGCAGGATAAAAAGGCAGGAAATAATAAAAAGATAAAACTGAGGTCTTGTTTTGCACTATTTTAGCTTGCAGAGCCTATTACCTATGACAAAGTCTATGAACATTCACATAATTCACTTTCATAGACTTAGAATGCGAGCGTCCTGAGGGAACTTTACCAAGCAATTTCACTTTTAAAAGAACATACAAGATACTTATAACAATTACTTTTAGAAAAATAAGGGAAAAAAAAGTGAAAATGTGGTTATTCACTTTTGTTAAAATGCAATTCAGGGCAAAGAATAAATTCAACTAAATATTTGTGGTTTAGAAGGTTTTGGAACATCTCCTAAGTAAGCAAGCAAGATACATAATTATTTTTATCTACTCCGTAGAGCTCTGCTGTAAAAGACAGTGATATATTTTAATGTATTTTGGAGATAAAGTTTTAGAATACCAGAATGTTAACTTCAGTAAAAGGAAAGATTTATGAACCTTTGCAAAGTATTTTCGCTCAACTATTAGTTCAAGTACAAATATTTTTGATTATATGAAGTGCAATGACTTATTTAACATAGCATAACATGTGACCACTGAATTCAGAATTAAACTTTACAGAAGATGAGATATGGGCCAAATAACCTTTCTTAAGAAATAACTGGACATCATCTAGGTGTCCAATCCTGATCGCACTGAAGTTCATCCAAGAACTTCAAAAAATATCAAGCAACTTTTCAAACAATTTCGAAGAGCAGCAGCTATCTATCACAGTAAGCAATATTTGACACCCAAATACTAAGTGTGCCGTCCTGCCCCTGAACCGCCCTACCCCTGGTCACGAGAAAATGAGCTCTGCTTTTAGCACAAGGCACTGCTTTGGAAGTCCAAGGCAAAATCCCAGCTCTGCTTATTGTCTCACCTTAGGACACAAAACCAAGCCCGATAATTGGTATCATTACCTCTTGAGCACATTCAGGAAAACAATTAAATGCTCAGTAGTATTCAGGCTCTTGCAGTTTTTGGTAGCATTTGTGTTTCCATCTATGCTTAGACAGCTAAAGTTTCTTTCAAAAATATGATTGCCTATGACGTATCTGCTTCTACTAATTTTGAATACTCTTTCAAATCCACCCTCACAGGTCTATAGCTAGACTCAGCAAAACTTCTTTACCAACATAGCTCTAAAATGGTCTACTTGGATTTACTGTTAAAATCACGAATCAGAAGATGAAGCTAATTGAACGAATTCCATCTTCAAATCTTTTACAAAGTGGCAGTCTGAAAACTTCCATAAAATGTTAAAGATTAAGTTAAAAATTATATGCAATTGAAATGGCTTAATGGCAAGTTATTTGTGCAGAAATCTATAATGTTACTGCTTAACACGTCAGCACAAACTTTAGCAGCTCTGGTAGTTATACTGCATTTATTAGTCTTATTGTTGGTACTGGATGAGAAGAAATTTGATATAAGCACAAATGAAATCTATTAAGCAATTTATAACATTGTTTTAGGTTTTTTTCAGAAGATATCCTTCTTGGGCTTAAATACACAATTAAAAAGAAAGGGTATATGGAACAGTGTACTAAATAACAAAATCTAAGAAACAATATAGATTTGATACACGTAGAGTCAAAATAGAAAAAAATACTCCTTATACATTAGTCTATACATAAAAAAGTTATATGGAATTATAAATTTTAATTTTAAGATGCACTTGGAAATCCCAAGTTTAGTTTTAAAATACTGTAGATGACTACTATAAGAAAACAATATTTGCATCAAGCAGAAATTAAACTATCAGAACCTCAGAATTATCAAATTTAGGTATTTTTTGGTATTTTTTTTAAAGATCCCACCGAACTGGAATATGACAGTTGCCTATGCACTAGCATGCCTATGGATAAGAGATGATCATGTTCAGCACGGCAACAGTTTAAGAGAGTAAGATATAATCTTACTTTCACGAAAAAAAAAACCTACTGAGGAATCATAGTTCACACATCATAAGCTCGAAGGGAAATTTTGGCAAAACAGCTAATCCTTGGATGTACCTGTGTAGTGATCTGGAACAAGGAAGAAATTTTACATCTCTACACACAGCATATTAACGAGACCAGTGTTCAAGTATGGAACACAGTGCTAGAGTCAACATGACTGAAAAAAAAAAAAAGCCTCAGAAGTTTCAAATTCTGCAGCAATGGCTACAAAAAATATTCAAGACCAGAGAAATTAGCTACATTGAAACCCTTGAAAAGCTCAAAAATGTTAGTTTATCAGAAAGATCTTGTGAAGCATCACTACTACCCACCAGAAGAAATTTCCATGTACTAGCAGAAGCTAGAGTGAATAATAGATCAATCTCAGAAAACAACAGATTATTATCAAAGTAGGCAATACTGAGACAGCCCAAAGAGAAGCAGTAATACAAAAAGAGACCCCAGAGGAAGGCAATAATTAGTTTAATCCAACAAATTTTTGAAAATAAACAACCAAATAAAACTTGTACTGACAGACTAGCAGGAGAAGTGACAGCTTCCTCAAATCTTCACATTTTCCTATCAGATTGTGGACGTCTTTCTAGAAAACACACTCTATTGAAAAAACTTACTGGATTCTTTAAAGAAATAACAAGCAATTCAAATTCTCTGCCATAGGTTCAATTACCTGAATTCAGAATTCTTTGGATAGATGGTCTAAAGGCACTTTCTGCCACTAAGGTCTAACTGACTACTAAGTACTAACTGCTACATAACAAGCACTTGTAATGACATAGATATTAAAATATTTTATGTCTCTTTATGAGATATTATTATGATTTACTCCGGTCACCGCCATGTCTACTAAATTAATGCAGTTGAAATTTCCCATAAATTATTTTTAAGCTCCTAACCTTTTTAAGCTAATTTTAACACACTAGACCCACTTAATAGGAGTGCATCGCTTAAATCTGTATTTAAAAATTGCAGCCAGAAGTCACTGAAATATTAAGAAACAGAATTAAGAACAGGAAAATCTTTTTTTTCTCTGAGTTTTTTCACTTACCACTGAGCAGATGGTATTAAACTATTGAGAAAAAAAAATCTCACCAAGAGTTCAATAGCATAAGGTGTCTAGTCCACAGAAATAATAAGGCAGAAAATATGACTGAAGGATGAGCACTGGGAATTCAAGACTAGAAACGAATGCTGGAATGAGCAGCTAACTAGGACAAGAAGAAGTCTAGAACTTAAAAACCAATGGAGGGCATTAAGTCAAACTTAATATCTTGCTTTTTGCCAAAGAGCTAGGAGAGGGTACTGATGTTAAACCATGAGTAGGTGTTTACTTCAGTACCATAAATTGTGATGATATCAAGTTTTGCTTGTTTTTAAAGCACAATATAACCAAAGGCATAAAGCGTTTTCAAAGTGGTAATGATCACTGTTATTTTTTCCCCTTACTGCTACAGTTCTTAGACACAAAACATTCAGGAAAGTTAATAAGCAAAAATACCTACATATACAAAATATAAAACATTCAGAGTTATGAAGGTATAAAAGTAGTACTTACTTGGTATGTGTCCCACAGCCTGATGGTACACCGTAAAGGGACCTCTCTCATCAGTAAGTTATTCATCCAACGGAAAGCAAATTGCAAGTATTTCACCTCATGCTGATCCAAGTGTCTATGAACTTGTTCTGAAGACACAATGAACAGCTATTTTAGTGCAACTTTTCTGCAGTCAATATTTATCAAATGCTTTTTGAAAAACACTTTTCCCATCCAAGCACATAAAATTGGTGGTGTTTACGCAATCTTACAACTAAATGAAAATCCAAAAAGGGGAAATGACTTACGAAGAACATTACACTGGATTCAGTTTTGTCTTTAGATGCTGCAAGCAACTAAAGTTGTGCTATTTTACATTCAGATTGAGGTCACTACCTTACAGCATACCACAAAACAAAATATACAAGGCTATAAAGTGAAATGATTAATTGCACATATCCTTGGACTACAATTTATTTATGGCAGGACTACAACCAACAAGATTTGCATATATCATTTTTTTTCAAAAACAATTGATAAGGAGGAGACAATAAGTAATACAAAACGCAGAGAAATAGTTACGTTTTCCTAAAAAGAGGAAGGATTCTGGTCCACTGAAACAAATGTTTAAGATTAATGTTTAAGAAATAGAGTAAGGTGATTTCACTAGCTTGTACTTTGAAAAAAATTTTAGTAAAAAAAAAATCTGTACAAATCGGTGATCTTTAAAGTAATACCCATAAACATTTTATTTACTATATCATGTTTACTATTTGGAAGCTGGGCTAATCACATGCATACACATTTCTATAGCTAACAGAATTAATATATCAGTGTGGCTTTTGTGTCAAGCAGAATTTCTCCCCAAAAAGGATCAAAGACAGCCCGTTAATAAGTTTTGGATAAGATGCTTAGGTATTGTAACAGCATGATATAAATTACAGTTGCAGCTGACATAGAAAATGTTAGCCGCTATTTTGGATGAACATATGAGCAGCACTCTAAATTAAGGTCTAAAGAAGGCCTTATTCCTTTACAGAATTTCTTTACGTAACACATTCTTTGCAGATTCTGTTCCTCGCATCATCCTTCATCTATGTTCACAGAAAATTTGCTGCTAAAAGCTCTCATTTTACATAGCTCAGGGAGAACTTAAAAGGCACCAACAAACAAACAGAAGAGTCCCAAGAGCACAGCAGAACTATCATGTGGAAATACTGCCTAAAGATTAAGATAGCAGAAGTTAAACTATTTATTACAGCAGCTGGTCAAAGGCTTTTGGAAAACATCTGAAACATCTAAGTCTTTCTGAACAGACACATCAGTAGCAGGTCTACACAACCAAGTTTGCTTCCTAGACTGCTATGTTGAAAGAGCTGCAACAGAGAATTACAGAGATGTGAACATGCACCAACCTAGGGAACAAAATTTCATTCAAGTTAACTACAATTAAATTTTGGTCTGTATTTACAAATTGTAGGTGGGTCCAATAAAGCCTAACAAAACACTATTTTTATTTATTTAAAATATATCAGATGTTAAGTGTCTATACTGAAGTTATTCATTCGACTTTTTTCTCAAGACAGTTTATACAGATATAAGAAAACTTCAGCCAATACGGTTCCAATATGGAAGGAAGTAGTAAAAACCTTTCTGATATTAACAATAACAACGAGCTTTTTAAATATATATATATATATCTCCATACACATATATACACACGCACATATATGAGAACAGCAACAATAGGTCACACCAAAGTCCCTCGAGGGCATCATCCTGTCTCTGAAGGTGGACAAATCCAGATGCCAAAGTGTGTAAAGCAAAGACATTTCTCCATGCACGCTCAGCCTCTAGTTATCTGTGGCTCAGGTCCTTCCCAGTCAGACTCTCTATATTTTTTCTTTAAAGTACTATCTTTCTAAACTACTATACAAACATAGACAACTAAATAAAATTGTTTATGTACTGTCTGTTACATCTGTGAAATGTTTTAAAAATTGTAATTAAGGATGTGCAATCCATCTTTAAATGATTCTCTTATATGCACCCTAATCAAAGTAATTAGAAATTGCTGTTATATAATGGACTGAAATATTAATACAGGATGTGAAGAGGTAGAGAACAAGGGTAGGAAGGCAACGACTGTTCACTTTGGTCATATCATCAAAGGATAATTCTTCTCCCCTGAGTCCCTCAGTGTACTTGAAAAGCACGATTGTGTTACCATCAACTTGCATTTCATACTTTCAAAAGAAAGAATGGTGCTATCCATGTTCCACTATCCCTAAAAATTTCCACTGTCCAGTCCTAAGACCCAGTGACTAACTTTCATCCTTTCTCTAGGAACCCAAGCTCCTCACATCACCTTCAGCCCTTCCTTCCTGGGCTCTCCGTAGGCTGCTGAGCTTACGCACTCCAAGGATCCAGCCATAATGAGCCCTCCAAAAGCAACAACTACCTGCTGGAGCCTCTCCACAGCCTGTCCTCAGCTGCAGTACTAATTTGGGAAGCTTTCTTCCCAAGGAAGAATTGAGCTGATGATAGTTGTGGAATTCTGCATGGTTGGAGGCTGCTGTCCCTCTGTAAAATGCTGGTGAAACTAATTTTTACCTTGAAACATTCCTGGAAGGAGAGAAGGACATGGCAAATGCATAGGCCCTGTCTTAGAGAAATGGATTTAAAAATAGACCAAGGCAGTTTATACTTAGAAGTCCACATTTTGAAGACAGTACCAGCCTCAGAAGCTCTTGTATTTTCACTTGCCACATGGTTAGATGCATGGATGGCTGAAAGCCATCAATAGCTATTCAAGCAAAATGCAGAGTTACTACCAGGTACCTGCATTTTCTCAGGCAAATTTACCGAAAAGTTTAATAAGCTGAAATGAGATACAATGTTAATGTTATCTTAAAAATATCACATTTATATTTCTATACTGCAGACTACTAATTAGATATTCCACTACATCAAGCAGGATACAAAGACTCAGCTTTATTTTTAACTGAAGCTTTAATTCCCAAATACTACCTACCATTTTTGTTCTTCACATAGCAGAAGGAAATATCACTTGATTATTCACAGCTATTTAAAGTAAGTAACAAAGAACTATAAATGGTGTCAACTGTGATATTTCAACTACAGCTCTTAATAGCCTTAATGAATTTTTTGAAAGTTGCTCTCTACTCTGTGTTGAGAATAGGCTACTAAACTCCACGCATTATATACAACTGATATAAGACTGGAATAGAAAATGCATTGACTGAAAAGGCTCATTCTTTCTGCTTTGTAAGTAACTGTCAGTAGAAGTTATTTTACTGATAAAGGTAATTTGGAGAGTCATAACTCTACATTTAAATTTTCCATTTCGCTGGAAAGTATGTATATGGAATGAGCAAGCAAGAGATAATTACTGTCAACTTTCAGACTTAAGTTTTTTTTTTTTAAATACTTCTACTGCAGTTTCTGATAATAAAATTATGCTACAATTTTTAAAATGATAGTCCTTAAAACTGCAAAAGAACGGAAAAGAACTAAGTTTAATTCATTTCTAAACAGTTTAAATAAACCCTTCACAAAGAAAATTCCGGTGAAACAGATCTTCTGATTAAAATAAAATACATGAATTCTGAAGTGGCATACCATCCAAAAAAGTTAAATATCTCATGTACTATATAAATTCTGAATAATTAAAAATACATTTTAAGTAAACCAAGAAAGAAGGGGGAGACCAAAAAATCACAATACTATATTGTTCTGTGTGTCAAATGATAAATCCAAAAAGAAAAATGAAAACCTGCTACACACTGCCTAGGATTAATATTATTACTTTTATTATTATGTAAATAGGATCGCACTCATTTCCACAGTCAGATACGTATAAATCACAATGGATAAAAGCTTTTTTGCAAAACTTTGCACTTCAGCATGAGCCTCTGATTTTACAAAGAGAAAAGCAGACATAATCTTCTTGCTTTCCATCAACTGCTTTCAAGAAAAATGAGGAAAATCTTAGATTTAATAACTGCCCATAAGTAATATTATGTACCTACAGACACTGGCAAAGCACGAGTAACTATCGGGAGGATGGGAAAATATGGTAAACTACTAATAAGATGCTACACATATGCACTGCACTATTTACATAACACTTAGTCTTAAACAGAAATAACAAAGAATCTCTAAAAGTGTGGTGTATAAATACGAAGGACTTGTGGAAAGTGTAAAGACATAAATCTTATTAGAATAAACACTGATTTCAGATGAAAATGACATTTTCATTTGTATGTATTAGTGACGTCCAGTGTCACTTTGCGACTTTACCACCAAAATGTTTGAAGTCACTGTTCTACATCAATATATTGAGGAAAAATATTTGATTCTTCCTTTAACGAAAATAAAAGAAGAAACAAACTTGGGCAATGGAATAAGACAATCAAGCCAATCAAAATTGTTTTAAGAAATCAAGTAAGGATGCATATTCCCAGACTAAAAAAAAAAAAGGAAAATTCTGACTTTTGCCTTGTGTAAATGCAGAAAAAAATTAAAGGAAAAAAAGGTATTTCTTTAAGTCCAATTTAATCTGAAGTCTAATCTACTATCTGTGGAACACTTAAGATTAAGCTTAAACCTCAGCTGATCTGAAAATACATACACCACTTCCATTTATCTTGTGCTATGTATACATTCCAAGGCCTACTAAACACTCCTTTAACTGCACAAACTAACTTCATTGTTTTCTAATTAATGTAATATTATATCTAGGGTTTATTTCCATCTAGTTGAACTTTCCAAAAGTGTGGCGAGCTATTAAAACTAGGCCACACAAACAGCAAACTGCCTACTCTAAACCTTGCTTATTTTGCCTGGTATTATGCACAGGTGCTGTCCCTGCACACTTGCATTTGTTAAATGAGAATCTCCTGCAAAGCAGGGACTTAAGGCTGACTTCTCACTTAGCGCAAAGAGTTGATAAAACTCATTACCATAAGCATGGCTTGCGAGAAAAAACATATCTTTAGTCACTTTAGTCCGCAGACATTCTACTGGTCATCCATATTTCTCTTCTGTAACTCCAAAACACAACATTTTGCTCGAGTGCAGACACGCTCTTTTCCTAGCCAGGTGAGTAGCAGGCAAGCACTGCACA